TACTATCTAAATTCCCTGTGGATACGAACTCTACTACGCTACACTACGTATAAGTGCTAGTATTGAATTTATTTTGAGTGCACACACGACAAGTGCACGTCATTCAGCGATTAAAAATAAATAAAATAAAATGCTATTTTGCGAGTTTGGTTGGTTGAGTAAAATAAAACTAATGCTAATGAGCAAGTAAAAAAATTGGGTTTTCCTTAATTAACGACGAAGTGAACAGGGATTGATTCTGGGGTTAACCAGATTTCTGGCTGATCAGGCCTAATTACATGAAATTGACTTAATTGAGCCTAGCTAATCATTACTAAGTTCTTACCGCTCTCGCGGCGTAGAGTACAATAGTTTAGGGGACCAGGCTGATCTCTCATGCGACAGGATCCTAAATTATTGCCAAGACGAGCGAGCTTACGGCCCCTATCGCTACTAATATCTTAGCGAATGATTAAGTGTGTGTGAATGTGTCCTAGAACAAATTAGATCTCTCTTAATTCATTCTACATGCAATTGTAATTCTAGTTGCAGTCTAGGTTACAAGAGATATCAGTTAAATTATTCAAAACCAAATTAAACGACATTCATGCAATTAAACCGAAAGGAATCTAGCCATACATTATCATGATTAACCCCTTCATCAACCCCAAATCTCTAATTAAACTACTCACAATTCATAATTGAAGAATCAACAGAATTGGGATGAATAGAATAAATTGTCATTAATTAAAGAATTGAACTTACAAAGAATCCCAGGTTCTTGAAGTAAACAACGAAAAAACGCAGATAAAATTCGTCCTAGGCCTCTCCACAAAGTTCATAACCTTGAAATATGGGTATGGGGGCCTTATTTATAGAAAACGGGGGAATCCGGGCGTTTTCGGGACTGCTGGGGGGCACACACAGAGCCCACGCACGGCGTGCGTCCCCCAGTGCGTCCGACAGACAAATCACGCAAAAATGGCCACGCATGGCGTGCGTCCCCCTACGCACGGCCGTGCGTGGCTGGTAGTAGCTGCCTTGCTTTCTAGCCTCGGACGCACGGTCGTGCGTTCCTCTACGCACAACGTGCGTCAAACTTCTGAATTTGACAAAACTTCCTTCATGAAAGTTGTAGATAATGAGGTCCTCTATCCACCACAACTTGCGTAATTGGATTTGAATCATCCAATCAAGAGATATGATCAAAATGGTGGAAGGTCTCATTCTGAAATCTCAACAGCGATCATCTGACTTCATCGTCTGTTTTCACCTTTCTCCTCTCATATTCTCGGAATGGTGTCTTCATATGATTTGTATCCCTTGAAGTTGGCTTTCATGTGAAACTTGATTAGTGTCCTTTGGATTTGTCTACAAAGATATATGCTTGAACGATTGACAGAAGGTCATCCTGATCGTCGTTTTCAAGCTCTATTTGTCTTCTTTTGATCCCGTAGCCGATCCTAGAGCTCTTTTGTCATCAAATTATCATCGCGAACCTTCCGGTGACATCCAAATCTCTCAATCCACTCTCGAATGCATCTCGAATCATCCTGATTGCTTCTCTAGTACCGGTGTTGAATTCTAAATTCCTAACTTTGACTCCAAATGACACAAAACTTGAATCAATGTCTGGTAAACATAACTTGAGCTAAAATTGAGACTTATGACACCTTAAAGCTAGGAAAACCATCAAAAGCCAATATCAACACGCATCAAATGCATGTCTAAATACAGACTTATCAGATTCCCCCACACTTAAGCCTTTGTTTGTCCTCAAGCAAACTGAACAACATGACTTACGATAATCACCACACGGAATCAAAACAATTAGCATGCAAACGTAGTGAAAGGGATATTTACAGAACAGGCAGACTAAACCAAGAAAATTCTTCCTTAAACTACATCTTTGTACTCTAGCTAAAATATTTGACAAAATTATTCACAACATCCTCAAAGTAGTGACAACAAACACAAATAAACTAGCTACTGATCAGAAGGACTTGTGAAGACGGTGGTGAAGGGTGAATGGTAAGGATAAACAGTTCCTTTCTTGAGAGTTTGGAACATTCTAACAAAGACTCAATGCATTCAGGAATTTTGGGGCTATTCTTAGGATCAAAGAACTTAGTAGGCCACAAATTAGGAACAATCATCTAAACCTATGCAAAGAGTAGACATGGTGTACAACTAAGCTAAACCGCCGCGGCACATTTGTGCTTTGACATATACTTGAAGTACGTGAAGGACTAAAGCTAATTTTTGCAATAGCCTCCAAGTTCATTAATTAGGTTCAGTTTTCCTTGTCATGTTGGCATGAGAACGCCATTTCTTTCGAAAGATACCCAAGTCTCATCTTACGCTTTTTGACCGGGGCTCCCATTCTCTTTTTTGCAAGGTAAGAGGTCTAGCGATATTAATTTTTCACCTTTCGGATTTTTACTACACATTACCTTATTCTAATCTCGGCCTCACCAAGGAAAAATAGCAATTAAAAGTTCATTAATTCAATCGTGAATCCATGCCTACAATGCAATCCTCGAAAATATCAAATTTCTAAAAAGTGACTGCTCTTACCCCATTTGAGACATAGGAACAGTGCCAAAATGGCTCCTACACACATTCGCTAAACTTAGCAAATTAATCCCCTAGTTCCTTAAACACCAAGACTGTGTCATAAATATTCACGGGTAAGGAAACACAGGCCATTTGGAGATGGAGCTCAATTAATTAGGTAAAGAATAAACAGTCAGGCTCAAAGTGGCTTCTCCTAAAGGACTTTTTTTTAGGTCAAATGGGAAATTTGTTAATTCATTAAATGGGTGACTAATGCCTTCATCCTCTCAACAACTAGATTATAGTGCAAGCAATTTAAGCCTAAACACTTCAAGGACATTATAAAAGCATAGTCAAAACGCTAGCCAGCTCACAAAGACACAGTTTAAAGAAAAATTTTCAAAAAATTTTGACATGACTTTTCTATGAATATACAACTAACACCTGCGCATGCTAACTCTAATAATCACACGTAACAACTACTGCCCGAATGCCCAATTCACTCCCCCACACTTAAACTTTGGCATCGTCCTCGATGACAAAAAATGCACTATGCTTAAGGGGTAAAGAAGAAAGGGTCACGCGTGCTCAAAATCAACTCAAGTCAATTATTTACAAAACAAGCGATTATAAGAGTTGCAGAAACTTCCCTAAGGCGCTGGTCGGTGCAGAACTAAACTGAGTCAAGTGATCCTCGGCATCATCCCCAAAGCAAGACCCTGAGCTGCAAAAACAAAACACACAAAACAAAAAACAGAAAACACCCCGTTTTTTTTTTCGTTTTTTTTCCGGGGGTTTCTTGAAAGAAAAAAAACAAAAACAAAAGTGCAGAAATAAGCTTGGGTTGCCTCCCAAGTAGCGCTATTTTTAACATCGTTTGCCCGACGCAACCACCTCATCAAAAACTCAGTCAAAGACACTCTCGTTCAGAAAATTAGTCTTCCACAAATCAAACCTCCTATCAACAAATGCCCTGAGATGGCGTAAGACCTTAAATTCATGAAAACAATTACACATCTCAGGGTCACCCGTAAAGAAAAAGAATGGATCTTGACCTTTATCAGGCCCTTTAGCAAAGAATGGGTCAAAGAATGGACAACTCCCTTTCATGTCAGAAATTTTCCGGACTAGAGCTTCCCTTTGTTCATAAGTAAATTAAGACATGCTGATTTTTGGGATAGCTCAAGCCCGGATGCAAGAAAAACAGGGAGGTCAGGACTGTCATCAATAAAATCATACTCAAGGTGGGATGGAAAAGGCTTTAGATTTAATAGAGAAGGAGTAACAAAAAAGGAATCGGACTGAAAATTTTCCTTCTCCACCTCATCTAAATCATCTTCCGTCCCCTGCACAGAACTAGCATCACTTAAGTCCTCCTCTCCACTAATCATAAGACAATCAAAACTAGGGAGGGGCTCAAGATCCTCCGCTAACACACAATCCTTCAACAAAAGGTCAAAAAGGGCTTCATTAGAAAGCATGTTAGGGGTGCAATCCTCCACCATAGAATCTATGTCATCCAAATAAAAACACTCTCTGCTATCCTGACAGGGCCTCTTCATTATTTTGGACATATCAAAGGTGGCAGTCTCATCCCCAACGCGGAGGACAAGCTTACCATCTCTAACATCAATAAGTGCTCGGGCAGTTGCCAAGAATGGTCTGCCCAAAATTATAGGTACCTCACGATCCTGATCCATGTCCAGAATAACGAAGTCTACAGGAATAATAAACTTGTCCACTTTAACCAACACGTCTTCAACAATCCCTTTAGGATATTTGACTGAACGGTCAGCCAGTTAAGTCAAATATCCCTTTGGGATATTTGACTTATGGTTTCGAGACTCGGGCACCATTAAAAGCAATAGTGCCAATGATAAGTCTGTATTTAGACATGCATTTGATGCGTGTTGATATTGGCTTTTGATGGTTTTCCTAGCTTTAAGGTGTCACAAGTCTCAATTTTAGCTCAAGTTATGTTTACGAGGCGTTGGTTCAAGTTTTGTGTCATTTGGAGTCAAAGTCAGGAATTTAGAATTCAACACCAGTACTTGAGAAGCAATCGGGATGATTCAAGTGTCCTGGTTGTTGACAACATTGCAATTTTCAGGGATCGTTATCAAAACTTGTTTGGCCATGTAATCCATGATGTGTCAAGGGTGAAAACTATGATTGACTGGATAGAGGTCCATCGGAATTTGGATTTTATCTCATGTGTATGTGTGCACCACCATATGCACCACCTTACTCTAGGGATGTTTGGGCGGGAAGACTATTCCCAAAAACATTTTGTTTTTATATAATGACGAATATGTTATTTAACTATTACCAATTCAATTAAATATATATTGGGGAAACAACTAGCTAGGTCATGGATTTGAAAAGTGATGCAGCTTTAGTCATACATGGGATAATTATTTCTATAAAAAGTAAGAACATAGATAAAATAACCACATACTCGTAAATATGCACTACTCAAATAAATTTCAAGTAACCTTATTTTTTATTCAAATGCAATCAAATAAATTATGTACTGTACAAATATCACATTCGCATACAATATGTGTAGAGTGGTATGTATATCTAATTACAATCTATCAACCATAGTTCACAAGTGCATTTATGGATGTACACTAAATATATACTTCTAAAATGACATCACAATATTATTTGACTAATAAATACTGCATATATCTTAATCTTCTCCAAGCTGGCATTGTGGTGAGACATTATCATTTGCAATGTTATTGCTGAAGCGTACATTTCTACATGTAGCCTTTGCTTCTCCACCTCCTTCCCTTTTCAAATTGACATTGCGCAATATTATTCCTCGGCAAGAATGTCTCTTGTCACAATCAAAGTCAATCGCCATTTCTGTTGCGCTTGTTCCAGATATGTTCTCGTATACCACATTTTTCACTTGAACATTTGATCTCTGTGTTGTAAAATGTATTAATTGATAATAACAAATTCAATGGTTACGGAAATGTATAATACTCCCTCCGTCCCGCTATGATTGTCCCATTTTACCTTTTCGGTCCGTCCCACTAAGATTGTCCCATACCTTATTTGGTAAAATTTGTGTGGTTCTAAATCAATCTTACTTTATTCTTACTTTATCAATTCAATATCAACCACATAAACCCACTTTTATTAATAAACATGTCACCTTCTCTTGTCCAAAACTTAGGGGGACGGAGGTAGTAATAATCTAATAAGAGGTCTACTCTAACTCTACGGATATATGATGCGAGTTACAATAATCACAAGTGAAAAAATGTTAACAAGGAATCAAATTAAATAATTAATTAAGTCAATTGTAGTCCATTTAAGGAATTATAAATTTATAGCCCAAATAGTTCACCTTGATTATGATTGATTGTTAGAGAAAGACCGACTTAGGGTTGTAAATGAATTAAATATTTTGCACTCGATTCATGATTTGAATTTGTGTATTACTATTTGAATTCAAAAAACTCAAACAAGAATACAAATTCGAAGAGTAATTTCAATTCGCACATTTATCAAATACAAATGTGCGTGTGGATTTGTAATTAATTAGAATAGGTGGGATTTGCATGGGTTTTCTTAACAACTCATGGGGTGAAACCCGTGGGTTGAAATTTGTGAATGATAGAGACATAACCACGATTTAATATATTGATCATTGAAGTTAGGCATAGTTATTTTTATTTTTGTTTATACAACACAAATGATAGTTAGTTTTTTTATGACAGAGTACAAATTATGAGGATTTATATATTGCGAAGAACATGCGTAGGATGAGATCAGCAGTAAAGAGGTGGCCAGGACACTACCACGAAGAATTGAAGGGATAATCCAATTTCAACAACATGGCGCGTTGAGTTTGTTTCTTTGAGCTGTACCATCATGTTTTAGAGTGTAAGGGGTAATTTATGCTAAAGGTAATTAAAGTGAGGTATATCTTTCAAATTAAACATAGGGAGATGTTTAATTGCTACCACAGAGTTATATGAGTGTAGAGAAATGTAGTGATTATTTTAATTATTATCATAACGCCTAAACCTAGGGAAAGTGTGAGATACTTCATACTTTATAGTTAAGTTTCATCATAATATATCTAAATAAACCCGATTAAGCAATTATATATAGGGCACGAGATGTTGGGAAGTAAGACAAATGCAATTCATCAAACGGTAATAAACACCACGCTGACCAGACTTTTTGCCAAGGCAAGGTCATGTGGTCAAATGGTCATATCTCTCATGTCCTTAAATATTGTAATCCAAAATGGAGCCACATCATCCGATCCTACGTGGATTGTTGTGTAACTTGTTTTTGTTACACACGATTTGTCCTAGACGGGCATTTACATAGCTATGAATAAGATTATCTCATGCTCCGTTAATTATGATGAAAGAAGAGATTCATTAAAAGAAATTGTCTAAATAGAAGTAAAAAGGTTTGTGTATTGCAAAATGGGATTGTCGTATTTTTATTCCTTGAATGTCAATGGATGAGTAATTACTGTCATTTTTTGCAGTACCAGACTTTAAACATGACAACATTCTCCAAACTTTGCAGCAACTTCTCCTATGTAAAGACTAAAGAATAAAAACATGACAATCCTTTTTAAAATTTCAAAGTGTTTTTACTTTTTACTCCTATTTTGGGAATTTTCTCATTGATTAATGATTGAAGAGGTTCAACATAAGGATGTTTTTACTTAGGACTGTAATTTGCCCCAGACCAGACCAGACCAGTACAGACCAGACCAGACCAGTTCAGACCAGACCAGACTTGGATAGTTATAAAAATACAAAAAAACCAGACCTTACCAGACCAGACCAGATCAGACCAGACCAGACCAGCAAATTACAGTCCAAGTAAAAACATCCTAACTCCTAAGAGTACGATCTTAGCAGTATTATTACATTCAGTAAGATGAGTTGATGACTTCTTTATCATCATCAAGGAACATTAATGGGGCTTTGACATGCCCTAAGAGGTCAAACCGTCAAAGTCGATGAGGGTTTCCTTAACTTGACAACGCGAATGATAAAAATTCGAAGGCACGAGATTGATATGATATTTGTGGAAGGGAGAAAGGTTTTCCAAAAAATGAGGATCGGAGGATATATAGGATCACGTAGAAATTTTATACAAAATTGTGATACCACGCAAAATCTATTTGTGATTGTTAATAAAATTACAATGATTACAAATAATTATAATAAGCACTAGAGTGTTAGGCTAACTTAAGGACTAGATAAGATACGATTGAGTTGCAATACTAAAACAATAGCACTTTAATTGGCAACAAAATACAATTCATTAAGAGCTTGTTTAGTAATACTCAAACCGAATGTATTGGTTGATTCAACGGAAGTTTATGAAGTTTTGGATGTAGTGGCTGAATTCGTTGATTCTGCTCATTTATAAAAAAATTTACTTAAAATATACGGAGTATTTTATTAATAAAATAAAATAAAAAGTAATATGAAAAACACCTAAAATGGTGATCTATAGTAATTTCGGCCAATACAGCCAGAAAAGTAACATGTTTGCTAAAAAAGTTGTCTAATAAGCCGAAAAACGTGGTCACCAAATAGACTCTAAATGACTATGGACGTGGTTGACATTTAGCGGTTAGTGGAAAACAATTTATATTAGCAGGTTGTCAACACAGGATTCGATCAGCGAATTTGACTAACGGAATAAGTTGGTGGGTTGCTATAAGATGTTTGTTAATTAAGATGTTTCGTCATAACTAACAATTGGTAGAAAACGTCATATTTTAAAACGCTAACCGAAAAAAACGTTTCCATTCAGCGATTCCATCCAAAAGTGCTAGGATCAAACATCTATTTTCCAAAAGTTCACTTATTAAAAATGCTAAAAAGAGTCTAACGGTTATTTTTCTGATGCCATTTTCAAAATGTTATTCATATCTAATCCAGGAGGAATGTTCAGGTACGAACATTCCCCGTCCGAGCACCGTCCGAACATGGACGTTTGGACTACTTCCCGGTGGAATTTTTTGATGAAATTTTTTGAGCATGTTCCTCATCAAGTCTAGTTTGTCCATATCGAATTTCAGCTCAAAATTCGATCGGCAAGGCATTCAAATAATTTTTTGAAGTTGACTGGGCTTTTATATGTATATTTTGACGCAGTCAACTTCGAAAAATGATTTGAATGCTTTCCCGATCGAATTTTGAGCTGAAATTTGGTATGTATAAACTAGACTTGATGAGGAACATGCTCAAAAAATTTCATCAAAAACTTTCACCGGGAAGGGCCCCAAACGAGGATGTTCGGACGGAGGCTTCTGTCCGAACGTTCGGATATGATCACCAGTATTGTATACTTATACTCCCAAGGGCAGCCCCGGGGGCTGCTGGGGCATTGACCCTAGGCCCAAATATTCGTAAAAAAAATTTAGGCCCAATATTTTTTTGTACTAATGGTGAGTAGGTTTAATCAATTCAAGTCTGCTCTTTCGGATGCAAAAAAAATCAGCCCCAACACAAAAATTGAAATCTTAGACTTTCGAGAAGAGTAGGAAGACTAAAAACTCAAAGTCGGGCCTCGTATGGAGGACTTGGGAAGTTCCAACTTCTATCCCAATTCCAATGTGTTATGTGCATGAATATTTTCCAAAATCCAATGTTTTATTAGCTCGAATCGTGGTTTTGCTTCTGATTAGAAAAAATAAGAATGTTTTCGACCCAATTAAAGCATTCTAAAAAGCCTCAATTCAAGGACTAATGTATCCGTGTCATTTCCAAATTCTAATTTAATTCCTTCAACTCCTAGACTAGGCTAGAAGAGTTCGAGCCGATTGGAATTGGAATTGGAATTGAATAATGGCATGCAGAAATATTCCAATCTTACCGATGCTTCCGCTGGGGCTGTATTGGATTTGGAATTTCAATTCCAACTAAATCGTCTTGTTCCAGTGGACAAAGACTTATTGAATTGTTGGTTCATGTTGAGGTGCGTAATGTGTATTGTATTTGATATTTTGATGTGTATATGTGTTCTTCCGCTAAAATTCAGTGTTCATTTAAAATTGCAAACTTTATTAAATTTGTAAATTTCATTACTTTCAAGGTGTTTGATAAAATGATTGATTTTGGATGGGATAAAGAAAAAAGAGAAGAGAAATAAATAGAAATAACAGCCCTTAAAATTCAATAGTTCAATGGAAAGTTATGTTTATATCATGAAATGCATTTAAGTACTACAAGTATGTTTTTAATCTTTAGTTTTTACCTGATAAATGTGACTCATTTTTTTGGAATAAATAACACTACAAAAAAACACGGGATCGATTGATGAGAATTTTTTGCGATAATTTTTGAAAATTGGCAGAGATTTTGACATGAATATGTCAAATCCGTGCCAAAAACAATTTGACACGAGCTATCTGGCATGAAATCATTGATAAATCTGTGCTAAATTCGTGTTAATCCTTTAATTTTTTGGTAGTGTAAACAGATATTTCTTTATTACTCAATATATTTTTTTGAAGTTGTTTTGTTTTGCATATTAGTTTAAAGATAAATGGTTTTAACAAAAACAATTTACAAATTAAGCCCACGAAATGACGAAAGACTATTGCTCGATCATATGTTAAGGATGAATAGTTTGATGATATATAATTACCTTATTATCTTTGCAAGGCTTGTTTTGGTCACAATAGTTTTGGTCGATGATAATTGGGTTCTTCACATCATACATCTTTATGTTCTTAAACTTGATGTTGCTTGCACTTCCCGAACCTCCCTGCATGAATACATATACCCATGTAAACTATATCATGTAGCTACTCCTTTCATCCATTTCGTGTCTTGTCGTGTCTTATGCAAAGTGACAAAACTGAATTAAAAAATTAAAAGATCGGAGTGACAAAACTGAATAAAAAAAAGTGACAAAACTGAATTTAATAATTTGTTATTAAAGAAGTATGTCATACAAAGTACGGAGTAGTAATTTAAAAGTAAATCAAAAGCTCAACAAAAAACTAACTTGTAATCGTATGAGCATCAATAATCATTATTACGATCTAGCTAGTCACATTTCATCCCTTCTTTAATTTTTAGGTGGAATCATGCACTTTGACATTTGTTTTATTCACCCATCCCATTTTGAACATTCTATTTGCAAATGTAAAAATGAATGAGATAGATGTGCTAGGCTGTACACATTTTGGTGTACATCTTTCCAACATTCGTCTGTCTTTCGCATATGTAATTGTTTGTCCACAAACAATTCTGTAGAGTTGTCTGTGAACTGACAACTTTGTCTGCGTGAGACAAATGAATGCACAAAAAGTGTACACGAAAATGTGTACACCAAGCATTTTTAAAAAAGAATTGTACTCATTCGGATCGGTGTGTGTTTTCAAAATATGTGCTGTATGTGTTAGTTATTTACTCTAATAAATAACTACATTTATCAATAATAAATTTGTCGTAAATGTCAAACTATTTCGACTAAAAGCAGATGTTCGTTCATGACTTTTTAAAATATACTCCCTACAAAGTACTACCCAATTCAATACATATATACTCTTCGGTCCAAAAGAACTTTGTTATTTTCAAAACTTTGACCATTTACGTCTTTTTATTGAAAAATCATTTATAATATAAAAATTATATGAAAATGTTCTTTGTTAAAAGTACTTTCATAAAAGTATAAAATTTAGAACTTTCATAATTTAATACCAAGTATAATACTATTCAATAGTTTCATAATTCAGCATTAGGCTACCTGCCACGTCTTGATCCGGACTCCATTTGTAGTCCTAGAGAGCTTTGCGCCGTTCACAATAACATTAGATACGTAAGCTTTCGAATTTCCCGCTCCTAAGCTTCCAATGCTAAACGCAATCCATCACCATGTCAATAATGGTAATATATTAATAATCATTTGGAGTTTTCTTAAATATCAATAATATATATAGATGGTGAAAATATGATTACATATTTGATTATTGCAGTCAATCAATACAAAATACCACAATCACAATTAAAAATTATAGTTGGTTCCTATTTAGAAAATTTGCACTTTTTTCCTCCTATTTTATAGCAGTTTCTTAAATATACTTTAAAAACATCTTCAATGCAAAAACGTTGATGGATGCATATATAACATGACAGAGGTAGTCACAAAAAATTAATAGGTGAATATGTGTCTCCTAATTATTTGAAGGGTCTGATCTTATATGATTTTAATAAGTTTTCGTGATAATGTCAAGTACAACGTTTAGAAGTAGACATTGTGATTGTCATTTTTGTTGTGTCTATCTCTCAATCTCTCATGTTACATGTGCTTACGTGTAAATTGTAGTATTAGAGATTCTCTAAAAACTTACTACCTCCATCCCGAAATGAAACTCCCTATTTGACCTACACATATTTATGTAGGATAAAGTTTTTCCAAATATATCCTTACTGTATGTCAAATCAAGCAAAATATGGATAAAAAGGGTATTGTGATTTTTTGCTTAAAAGTGGTTTCCATTTTTATAAATGAAAACTTCGACATCCATAAAAAGAAAGCGAGAACTTCTTTTCGGAACGGTATTAAGTGAGAGGGGACCTCACCTAATTCCGTGCCCGGGTCCACAAGCAATATTTGTTGCAAAAATGTTTCGGGCGCCACTAACAATCGAAATGCAATCATCACCTATAAATAATATGATTAAATTAGTTGATAGATAGATTTTGGTTAAATAATTTTTTTTAAAGAAAAAAATAAAGAACATTCAATAATCATTACCGGTTCGGATGGTGCAGCCAGTCAAGTTAATGTTTTTTGTGCCGGTTACGTGGATGCCGTCGGTGTTAGGGCTGGTCTCCGGCGCGGCTACGGCAACGTTGGAAACTCGAACGTTTGTGCACTTCTCGAAGGAGACATGTATCTGTTGTGCATTTTGGATTTTAAGGTCTTTCACCGTCAACCTTTTGCACTTGTAAAAGGTCAAAGCCTGAAATCCACATTATTTTATATTTCATACATACGGAGTATAAATTAAAACACAACATAAAAATTTGAACACAACATTAAAACCGAACATATACATTATATTCACTGCATCGTCATAACTTTGAAAACAATTAAAATAAATACTTTTCATTAAAGACCTTAAAAGTTATCATGTCACATTTTTTTAATAAATATTTTTCATTAAAGAAAGAAACAAGAAGGTTACAAAGGAAAGCTAGAAAAGAGAGGGAAAATGAGAAACAAATAAGTGAAACAACCCAACCAGAAGTACAATATAGAAGTCTCTCCCAAAAAACATTGACACTCAATCATATAGTCAATACTCCAACCAAGTTTGAGATCTCGTCCTCATATAATGAGACCGTTGATACTTTTTCCTATGTCACATTTTTGTACACCATTTTCTCATGAGTAATATTAGTGAAAAATTTTCTTTATAATATCAACCATATCATATTAAGGTATGAAACCATAAAAAATAATCAAATATAGCATATTGATCAGAATAACATTTTAACAAAACAATCCAAGAGAACATGCCATGACTAGATGACTTTGGATGTTTTGATTTGGATCGTCTTCAATTCCATATCAGAGCAGACTAGACCAAATCAAACCAACCCCAATTTGGATAGTTATAAAATATATAGAGACTAAATATTTAATAGACTAGACTACAGACTAGTTTAGATCAGACCAGATCAAACTAGATCAGAAGATTTCAATCTAATTAAAAATATCCTTATATATTATCTTTATTGGGGTGGATACAAAATATGGTAGCCAGAGCACGCATTATTTGTAAAACAATTTTATTTTTTGAACACCATAGTAAAAATGGTAAAGAAGTGAAGATATCTTACCGTGGGAGCATCTTTGCATGGCTACATATATGTAAACGGCGAGGAAAAAGCAAAAAAAAAAAAAAAACCAAAAAAAAAGAATCAGAATACAATTAATAGTATTTCAACGAATAAATAAACTTGTAATTACATTAATTAGGTACGCAACGTGACTTACAAGAGCTTTGTTGATTTTACAAGAATTTTGCCACCATATTTTCCCATTTCCATCAAGTGTTCCGCCACCTTCCACCATCAAATTTTGGACACTTTGAAACTGTAGCCAATGCCTTTGATGCTTTTTGTAGTCTGTCCGATTATCAGATGCTTCAATACTTCCATAGATCTTCCTCATACAAGTAAATATAAAACCATATTAATTATTGAACAATTGAATTAATTAAATGCGAGGATTTGTAAAAAAAAAATACTCCGTATAAGATTAATATTATACGTAGTATAAATAATTAATTACTTCACTAAATAAGCCAACCTGAAATGTAATAGCTGATTTGCATGGCCCTGAAAATGAAATTGGTTTTAGAAGATACTTCTTATCCTGTGAAACTTCAAACGAAACCGATCTTGCAGTAGATGAACATGCTGATTTCCAAGCTTTTTTAAATGCCTGAAAAATTACGATAATGTATAAATTACCTAATATATTAAGAGTAACCAATATCTTAAACATTATTCCATATTTATTATTTTATTATCATAAGTTCCGGATCAAATAAAATTATTCTTTTCGTGAAAATCGCAAGCCGTTCACCTTTCCTGATCAATGTGAAGCACTATTAAATTTCTGCGATTGCACGTTTACACATTAACAAAAAAAATTGACTTGTTTACCAAAATGTGATAACGATTTTGTATTGGCATGGCTCGATCGACCAATACCCAAAAAGTGCAAGAGACGAACTTTAAAGTGAATAATTTTGAGTCAAAAGCTAAGCGAATGGTTTGTACTTCACACTATAAGTTTTTTTATCGGAATCGTACCCTATATTTAAGATGTGATAAATACTTCAAATGCGTACGTACCGCTGTATCATCGTGTTCCCCATCGCCCCTAGCGCCATAGTCATCGACATTGATGGTTGCTGCTGAAGCTAAACTCCTTGAGGACAAGCCTTTCAACCGGAGCTTGTTATCACTTCCTCGCCAGCCCCCATTGATGGGACTAATCATATATGAAGGGTATGCCCGAAAGTCATGCCCATGTTCTTCTTCCATATACTTCATATCATATAAGGTAACGTTATCATCATGAAGGTTAGCCAAACATAATGGTGCTAACGTAAGGAACATAATGAGGACCCATAATATTGAGAACATTATGTTTCTTAACATAGACATGTTTTAACGATATGTGCGTGGTACTCTATGTAGCTTAAAAAATAATTATAAGGAAAACTCAATAAGACCAAAATGTAATGATGAAAGATTCAAAGGATGTAAGGAGTTGATGATATGAGCTAATGAGCTACTATTACAATATGACTTTTTTGTGGGTGGATATATAGTCGAATGTGTTACAAATTACATGTGATAAGAGACCGACTATATTTATAGATTTTGGGAAATGGGAATATGGAGGATTGGAAACTTTGATTGTTTCCATCCATACGACTCTTGTGGTATGGTTTATGGATTGGACAGACTTATACGAAAGTGATAAATTTGAAGTTCATTATTACATATTCCGGTATTTACATGCGGAGCATTATACTTGAGCTATCCAGAATTTTAGGTAAGCGTTAAGTAAAAATTTCTAAGATGATATAATTTTTATTTAGAAAATAATTTTAATGAGACAATAATATTAGTTTATTGTTTGCCAAAAAAATTAGTTTATAAAAATGATGTTCTCCGATCTTCTTTTTCCGTGCTTTTAGGGATCTACACTTCTACTTCTGTTGATTGTTTGTGTGGCTTTCCTTCCGCCGATTGTTCGTGTGACTTTTCTTCTCTAGGCTTATAGAGTGCTTTTGATTCAGATTGTTGTTTTTGTTTTTGTTTTGGGATTTAGCTTTTGGAAACGAATTCAAGGTTTAAAAAGGATAACCATGGCTTCTATGGATGAACTAGAGCAACATTATCCCATTTCAGCAACTGAGGATCATATCGGAGGAGGTCGGAGGGTTGGTTTTTGGCGGATCAACATGACTGGAGGGCAGTGGGCGGTGGTGGAAGCAGCCCGGGCGACGAGCAGACGTGGAGCGGTGAAGTCTTGAGCAAGGGAGTAGACAGATCGGCAGTCGGCACCCTCCTGAACCGTCGCCTTGGAGCGTACGAGGTGCTAGAGTTTGGAAGATGATATTTCAATAAAACTGGCAGGGAGTTTGTAGTATTTATCAGTTATTTTATTTTTTATGGTCTTATTTTCGCGTTATGTTCATTTACGTTGCTCTGTTTTTTATTTATTGATGTCTTTCGTTTTAGGTCTACAATAATAATTGACAATGCTGCTAGATATTATGTCATTAGAATGATCTATATGGCCAGCGATTGACTGATTGTTGAATTGGGTCTTCACATCCGTCTGATGGTTAACGATTTGTATTGCTCTTTCAGAGGTGATCATTTCTAATTCTATATGTAGGATTGATAGTACAGTTGGTTACAGATAATTGTTGTCAGTATTGATTTCTTTGAATTTGTCGGAACGATCCAAATCCTAATGATATTAAAATAAGCGATTATTTCTTTAAAGAAAAATGATGCCAATAAAAAATGAATGTGATAAGGTAGGCGAGTGAATCATGCAATGAAAAATAACTTAAGTTATACTACGTGTATGTGTAAGCAAATTTTAAAAGGATATCCTTTTATCTTATGTATTTTCAAGAATGTAATTATAAATTAAATATTTTATAGATTATTTATTAAATTCAAATTCTTAAATTGAAGTTCCTTTTAAACAGGTTTAAGGCTTTAAAATAGAAGTACATGTATTTTTCTTTAAATAGAAATAAATTACTCTCATTCTGAAATTTAATGCTATATTTTCGCATTATCGGACTTTAGATATGGTACACTAGTAGGAAAAGGGCTTACACTGACACTAATTTAGTGTCACTGAAAGTTTCTGTGACACTAAAAAAGCGTCGGGAAAAGTGTCGGCTAGTGACACTAAATATAGTGTCACTAATCGTAAAACATAATAGTGTTGGTAAATTATGACACATTAATGTTGTACAAGATTATGACACATTGGTATCATAAATCTTTGTGACACATTGGTATCATAAAAAAAATACGACACATTGGTGTCAATATCATTATTTTATTTGATACTAATTCTATTAAAGGTTATAGAAATAATAATAAATAATCAAAATAAAAGATCAACATTTGTATTTATTACTCAACTTATTTTATAGTGTCAATATCATTAAAGTACATTACAATATGCTATAAATCTACACTTTAATCAGACAACATTTTTACAATATGCTATAAATCTTCAACTCTTACAAAAGTACTCAAAACTAATGAAGTATCAACAAAGTGTGCCAAAAGGGGTAGTTGAAGTGTGCAAAGAGGAACTAATTTGCTCCGTCATAGGGGTGATGATGAAGTTCAGATTTTATTCAATGGTAAATAATGCTTCAAATTCAAGCCCTTGCTCCATGCCACCTCCATATGATCCTCAAGGTCTTCAAGCTTTTCTTTTTAGGAAACACATGCAAATCAAACACGTTGAGATTTGGGAAGCTGCTGAAAATGCATATTCCCGAAGAGCACAATTTCATTGATAGAAATTTATAGTCATGTCGGTAGACCACATACAAGTTTCCTGATCAAACTGCCAAGACTACACTATCCAAGAGATTATTATCAATTCATAAAATGACTACCCTTTGATCTCTTGCAGTTTTCAGTTTAGATTTACCTCAGAGGACATAAATTGTTTATTTACTTTGGATGTAGTTCCTACATCAACCTTCATTATACACAGTAATGAGACTAAAATTCTAAAAACATCAATAGTATAGGTTATTTTGAAATGCATGGAAAATATCATGACTGGTGGGAAGTCAATAAGTTGAGACTTATGGTAGTGTCATGTTCCATGACATGATTGATATTGTACAATAAAAATGCAAATCATGAGTCTGCAAACAAAAATATGACACAAATACCTGAAAATGATAACACCAAGAACAACAATTTTAAGAAGAATAACAACAATAACGATCATGAGTATGGTTATCAATCAAACTACCTTGACAATTTGAGAAGTTGTTCCTCATTATTATGTTCCTTGAGGAAGATATGTTCAAAGCGTAAAAAATTCAGGTGAAACTACATAAACTAATGTTTTATATATATATATATATATATATATATATATATATATATATATATATATATATATATATATATATATATATATATATATATAAATAGTTTTTATGAAGTCCATTAGACAACTGAAATTGCAGAATACACATGCTAGTATATAACAAGCACACTTTGAACAAGCTAAAACTATATACACACCAATATACAATGGCATAACTATACTAATCACTATGAGTAGCACGTAATATCCTTACACACCTTGGTGTGAAACTTTCCAGATCTAGTAGAGTACAATGCTCCTTATAAAAGTAGGTTCTCAAAGCTGCAAAACAACAAATGGTTAACCCAAATTTAGAGCTTTATAATGAAAACTAAACTATAGACTCTCAATTATAAAATGAAAGCCCATATCCAAACTTGGTTTCATAGCTTTTCACTAAAATATATCACTCTCAATTTGACTGGGTATAGTTGGGTTGACCTATAAAATATAAGATATCAATTATAGTCATTATCGCAACGCCATTTCATGGCTAAGTGAAGGAAACTTGCAGTGGTAATTGTGCTCAAGAAGAATATATAACTAATTTTATGTTTCTTGTTAGCTTAAAGTAAAAAAAAAAATAGGCAATACCTAACTACAAAAGGTTTTAATGTCAATCTTTATAAATAAACAAATAGTTAGCATATAAATATGCTACTAGTTTAAATTAATCTTATACCTTCTTGCTGCTGTTTGGGGAGTTTCCCCTTCTTCTCATCTCAAAATATGGAGTTATAATCTTGTACTTTCATCTTCTTCCAGCAATTTTTAATAAGGGAGAAATCATACCTTGTATTTCTTGCAACATCACTTGTATTCTAATTTCCTCATCAACATCTCTCTTTAAGTTCCTAATGTGCAGCATCAGTGTCTACCGGTCTTGTTGTGACTCTCCTTTGTGTGAAGCAATCTCCACCCACCTACGACATCCCAAATTTTAACAGAATTTCCACCTGAAGTTGCAATTAATCCGCTTGAAAATTATATATGGAGCAGTATATTTTAGAAAATAGTAGCCTGCGTGTTCCAATGTTTATCTTCATTTATCAAAATCAGAATATCCAGATTATCTCATTTTTAATAACCTCCACTAACCAACAAATCTAACTTTAGTTTATGATACTGAGTAGAACTTAGAGAAACATAAGTCATCTTAAATAACCTCCACTAACCTAAGAACGTCTAATCTTATTTTGTGTAAGAACTAGAAAAACTAAAGTCACCTACGACAAGAACTTTTAACTCGCAGACCAGATATATTTTAACTCAAGAAAATGTAGAACTTCAACAAGTTTATCTTTAATCATTATTTTGAATTGCGTTGTAAAGTTGGCAATCACATTTGAACTGGGGTTTGGTTAGGGCTGGGACTTTGGAACCAAGAACCGGAGAACCGAACCGGACCGAACCGTTATGACCCGGTTCGGTTCGGTTCCAACATTTATTAGTTATTTGTTAACGGTTCGGTTCCTAATTTTTATTAACGGTTCGGTTCTCGGTTCCTGAAAAAAATATGTACCAGGAACCGTTAAGGAACCGTTATATATAATAATTAAAATTAAATATATTTTTTATGAATATATATATTGTAATGTATATTTACTTATTTATTTTTATATTATATTCATTATTTTAGTTTAGTTATTTAACTATTTAAAACTATTATTTATTTCAACCGGTTCTCTTAGGCTTCTTAGGCCTCTCATTAGGTCCAA